GGGCAGGCAGGCAAGCGGCTGGCTGGCCGGCTGGCCAACTGGCCGGCCTGCCTCCGGGCGTTGCCAATCGCACTTGGGAGGTGGTGCTTGAGAGGCGGAGCTGCGGAGTCTGGAGAATGGAGGGTCCATCCTGGCACTGTCATCGTCGCCTTTGGACAGACACTCAACCTTGGAGGAGCCTTGGCTTCCTCCTCAAAACCTCTGCAGGATTTTTGTGAAGGTTAATTGGGATAATCTGCATAAACCACTCATCTCTGTCTGGGGGAAGTAATGTGCTAAGCAAATGATGTCTCTTGTTACCCTGTTCTCAGCCCCCTAGTTAGGGCCTGTCAGCCATCTCCAGCCCACTTGATTTATTCTCAGTCCCTTCAGTTCAGAGAGAAGCCGTTATCTTAGAAACAGCGTTTTTTACCCAGATATGGGGGCAGGTGGGAGACCATGCTTTAAGCCAAACCCCAGTTTTTGCTTCCCTTCCTTCCCTCCTTCCTTAGAAGAGACAGAGAGGCAGAGGTGTGGAACCATGGGGAGAAATGCACTTGCTTCCCAACTGCTTCTGAGTTCAGTTCTCCGTACCTTAGTTTTGAGTGTCTTTGCAAAGTTGGCAACAGTGACATTGGCATTTAAGGGGAAAACAAAACCTATTCCAAAGTCAAATGGAAATGGAGCTTGGACTCCCACCACTTGAGATAACTCCAAGCTACACCCCCTCGTTTTCAAGATCATTGGAATCTGCCTTTTGGCGACATAGCCACAGCCACGAGGACTCCTATGACCTTGAATATGTCCTGAATATTTGGGAGACACAGGGTAGCTCTCTTGCCAAGGTGTGTTCTCCACCCCAGTGGGTGTGCTGGAGCTGGGTGAAGGCCTGGAGAGCCGGGGAGGAAGTGTTGACCATGTATGGCAGTCATGGAGGGGAAGAGTTGAGCAATGGGCAGACACTCACCCCCCCCCCAGCCCTGTACATATGTCTTCATCAGCAAAATACCAGACATCCACTACGCACTCCCATGCTCTAAGCACTTTGCAGCGTGGTTGATGTGAGAGGTGGAAGACAAGATGAAAAAGGCCTCGAATACTCTTATTTCCTACAGAGCACTAGACGTTTGGGTAGGAAGAGAAACCTATTCTTTTTTCCAATAGGTTGAAAATCCTTGAAAGGCAAAGTAGGTATCAAAGATTTTTCATACCCCACCAGGGGGCCACCCCCAGCCCAAGGCACAAAGTGGCCTTTCACACATGACCCATCCTTCAGTTGAATGACTATTTGGCCTGAGAGGAGGCTGGTAGAGGAGAGGAGTGAGAGACGAGACTAGAACTTGGATCGAGGCCAGCTGAGAATGACTTGAGGGAGTTTGACTTGAATCTTGTGTCTGTGGACATGAAGTGGTCCTTGAGCAGGGGAGGGGAGGGATGAGCAGTGTGAATAGGTGTTTTACAAGGATAATCACATAGTGGCAAGCAGCACTGTCATGGGCAAATGGCAGGCTAGCATGAACTAGCGTGGCTGCAAGCCAGGTGTGAAGTAATGGGATCTGCAGTGGGATGAGAGGAAGGGAAGTGCTGGGACATTTCCCAGGGCTTAGGCACTTATCTCCAGTCCACTTCTTTCTTTCTAACAAATGTAAACCATGGCCCTCCCTGGTGGCGCAGTGGGTTAAAGCACAGCACTAAGAAATTTAAGTCACTTCCACGTGAGTTCGATCCCCGCCTGCTCAGGAGGTGACCACATGGCGTGGCAGACCTCTCCTGACTCGCCCGCTGCTCCCCTCAGCAGTGTACTTTGTCGATCTGCCTGTTCTGTTCCCCACTCTGTCTCTGGTAAATCCTTTCACCCTTCACATCTCTGGCTGGTACCCCAGTTCTGTATGAATAAATAAATAACTCTTAAAACAAAAACCAAATGTAAACCCCACAGGCACAACCAGGACCCTGGCCTGGCCAGAGTAAGACCAGGCCGCTACAGAGCAGGTGTTTATATCTGTGTGTGTGTGCATGCACACACACACACACACCCTTCTAGTTTGGCTTTTGTGTTGTCCTCGAGCAGGGGCACACTCCACTCCAGCTCACTCAGGAAGATGGTCAGAGTAAGTACCTCCCAGGCCTCCCTTCCTGGCGCAAGGCCTGGCCCCACCTCCACTGCCATTTTAAGTAATAGCCACTTGCTCCCTACTGCTACCCTGGACAGCTCCCATTGTGCAGCGACTGCTCTGTGGCGCTGGAATCCGCCTGCTTGCACTTCCACCATCCATCTCTGTCTTGCCTCTAAGCCCAAGGAATGAACCTGTTCCCTTTGTAATGGCTGCTTCAGACATTGCAGGAAAAAAAGATATGGTGATATATTACTGGGCTGATGACTTCTTTTATGAAAGGAATTCTAAACTGTCATCCATTCTCAAAGTGAAAGATAGAAGGTGACTCCTCTGCTTGCAGCTTTAATTTTCTTAAGAATGTGCCCTTCCCTGTAAGCTTCAGAGAGGTCTTTGACCCAAAGTAGCAAATGTGCATGTGCCCAAAGGAAGTTCAGGTACTGGCCCCCCAGGGGAAGGGTTGTGTCTGGCATGGCCCTGCAGGTGGCCAGGGTCACTGGAGGAACAGGGGGAGGCATGTCCATGGTGAATCTGGTCTCCTCTTTCTTCTTCAGCTGAATTGAGATCAGGAGAGCATGAGTGAGGCAGATGGAGGAGGACTTGGGTCAGCTTCTATGCTGAGTTTTTCTTCCCTCCTTACTTATTATCTCTTGGATTAGAAAGGCAAGACACATTATCATCTCTTGTCCTGGGCACCCTGACAAAGTGGCTCGGGAACATTCGTTCTCAGCCATGCTCTTCATGAGTGTCACCCAGGAGTGTTTAAAATTCCCAAACCTGGGCCAGATATGGGGAGAAGGGGGAAAGGCCTTGTGTGGTTGTTTAAGCTTTTTAACAAATCCCCAAAAGATTCTAATTTGCAGTCAAGACTGGGATGATTGTTTTAGATATAGTTAGATCCTAGATGAAAGAAGTAGCTCTTACCTTGTGTTGACCCATTCAAAAGCCATGTAATGTACTGGAAGACAGTTGTTTTTGATGGAGAGAATCTTATTTATTATCATTATTTATCACTTGTTTGGTTGCTTTTTTGGTTTTCTTTCTGGTTATTTAATTTGTGTTGCTTTTATAGTGCCATACGTAAGCTGCTTCTAGAGCTTGGCACCCCTTTCAGAGAGCTGAGGGGAATATACCCAGGAATGGTCTTTACTGGATTCTGAGCAGTTTAGCTTGCAAGCAGCCAATTGGGTCAAAATGTCAGCCAGTGAGCAGTCTCAAAACCACAAGTCGCTGGAATTATAGTTGTACATTTATTTAGTTCCATAATTTCTAGTTTGATGAATTCTGCTGGTGAAACACCCTTCAATTCAACTATTGATTTCAGATGAAAATATGAACACACTTATGGTAGACAATTTCTCAAATTGTCCATGATTGAATAAAGTAGAAACTGATTCCTGGGCAACAGATGATTGTTCTGGATTTCTGGGTGGGTCAGAATGTCTTTCCTGGGATCCAGCAGATCAGAAGTTGGGAAAATAGGCATAAGGGATCCAGCACCCCCCTATTTAGCACTGTGTTCTGGGTATTGGGGAGACCTTCCTTCAGGCCTAGAATCTAACAGGCTATTCACTTAGCAAAGAGAGCCAGTCCTGATTCCATATATCACACAGACTCCAGAAGTCTTTTTTTTTTAAAATATTTATTTATTTATGCACACAAAACTGGGGGATAGGCCAAAGGTGCATGGGGCAGTGAGAGAATTCACCAGAAACAGCAGGAAGCAAAACAGGCAGACTGATAAAGTACACTGAGGGGAGCAGCAGGCACGACAGGAGAGGTCTGCTGTGCCAGTGGGTCACCTCCCTTGCTGGGGATCCATCAAACTTCTACTGAAGTGGCTGAGGCTAACTTTGTAGTGCTGCACTTTAACCTGTTGTGCCACCAGGGAGGGCCCCATAAAGTCTTAATAGTAGAGATTTAGTTTGTTGTTAAAAACTCTAAAAGATACAATGAATGTATCAGGAAGAGAGGAGCCCCCAGAATGTCGGAAGTAGAGGGATTTGGGGCATGCATTGGTGTCTAGCCTTTCCTTTTTCTGGGTCACTGCTGATAGGCCAGTTTGGCTCCCTGAGCTGGTTATCATGATGCTAACACATGCCACTCTGATTCCTGTCACTGAGCAACAGGACATGTGGATGCTGCAGGTGATCCTGGAGTGTTCCTGGATGTTCCTGTCCCTGTGCTTGTGTTTGAAGGCCGGGCCCACGTGCACCAGTGTGTGAAGTCAGACATGGCTCCAGCTAGGAGGCAGGGCATGAAGGGGCATGTGTGTAGGGAGGTACAATTGTGTGATCTTGGGGAAAGTGCCTCTTCCCTGAGAGTGTTTCTTCCTTTATATTAGTGAAAGGCTGCATTATAGATCCCAGTGATGCCTAAGTTGGCTCCTATTAGGAGCTTTTAACACCCCTTCCCCCAAGATTCTTGCCTGGGGTCAGCCCAGGTACCAATATATTTTTTAATAATATAATAGTTTATTTTTACATCATTTTGTGCATTTTTCCATCTCAGTTGTAATCCCCATGGTCTTCCCATCACCACATCATCCGTGTGCCATCACCATAGTCCAGTGTATTTCCTTCCTCCCACTGTTTTTGATCCCATTCCCCAGTATCAGTATGTTTTAAAAGCTTCTTCAGTGGTTCTACCATGCAGGGTTGAAAACTTCTGTTCCAGGTCATCTTTTTGATCCTTTCCATTACTGGTGTGTTAGCAGCACCTATGATCATAGCTTCTGACAGCAAGGCACTACCTCTTTGGACTTCTGTTCTCTGGATCTTCTCAGTGGCCCTAGATGAGGAGGGAGAGTTGCCTGACCTAAGGAAGGAAATTTAGTGTCTTGGTTAATTGTGTGGGTCTGGAGGGCAGGGAGGTGAGTGCTGGATCTGCCCTCGGGTGCCCCTGTGTGACATGGATATGAAGTCAGTAGCTTCCTCATTCGGGGGCTTATATTAATGTGTACTTGTAAACGCTGAAATGATGACACAGTAAGTGGTCAGTGAGGTTGTTATTGTGGAGAGCAACTGAATGGATAGGGTGTCTAGACAGAAGAGTGCAGGTGTGTTCTTGGGGTGCAGATGAGGCTGGGGGAGCCAGTGAGCTTGTGTCTCAGGACTTCTGTCTGGCAGGGCATGTCTGGGAGCACGGGACCCGTACTGCGGCTGGGACGGGAAGCAGCAGCGTTGCAGCACGCTTGAGGAGAGCTCCAACATGAGCCTCTGGACTCAGAACATCACAGCATGCCCTGTGAGAACCCCTTCACGCCCCCACCCTGGATCTCTTCCCAATTCCAGCTGGTGCCTCCCCATCGGTATCCCCAAGTCCTCTGGCACCTCATGCTTTCCCTACCCTGCTTTGTGCGATGGCACCCTACCCCCAGTGTGTGTCTACAGGTGCGGAATGTGACTCGGGATGGGGGCTTTGGTCCATGGTCACCATGGCAGCCATGTGAGCACTTAGATGGGGACAACTCAGGTTCTTGCCTATGTCGGGCCCGAGCCTGTGACTCCCCCCAACCCCGTTGTGGGGGCCAAGACTGTCTGGGACCAGCCATCCACATCGCCAACTGTTCCAGGTATGTGAGGATATAGGGCTGTGTGATGGCTGCCCTGGACCACCAGAGTTGTGGGGGGGGGAGGGGAAGGAGGGGAAACGAGGTACCCCAACCAGGTGTTTCACTAGGGATGGAAGCCACTTCAGGGCTAGGGAGGACTGGACAAGTGGCTAATGCCTGAGGCAGGAAACATGAGTCTTGAGAGAGTTCCACGGCCGTGGAGAGAAGTCTCTGCTTGTAGTGAGACATCTTGAGACAAAGATGGCTGGACAGTCACCCCTAGACAGATCTTAGTCTCAGTAAGCCTTGCTGTCCCGAGCATCAAGGACAGGCAGGCACAGCGGTGCCAGTCCTGGATAAGCCACTGGCTGGAGATGTGATCTTGGCTGAAATACTGACCCACTCTGAGCTTCTCTAAGTGAAGTTCATGGTAGAGCCCTGTACTGTGATCTGGATGGTTGTTAGGAGGATTAAATGCCTAGTACCTGGGGACCCCATAAATTGGCTATAACAACCATACTTTTGGATAATCTTAAAATAACTTGATTCTATATACACCTATTCATTAACCCATCACAACCTTCTCATGGGCTAAGAATAGTCATTGTTACTTTCAAAACAGGAGTATTATGAGGCATAGAAGGTCTTAGTGACCTGCCCAGGCTTATATAGCAGAAGTGGCAGAGCCAAAATTTGAAAGTTGGAGTTCACAGAGACATAAGTGAGTGAGTGATGTCTGAAATTGGTCAAAGTGCATGCAGTGGTCAAATAGGGGAGAGAGCAGAGATTTGCCTGCAAAGACTGGCCAGCCCAGAAGGTGGGGAAAAAGGCTGCAAAACAGAAAGGTGACTGGGCCTTCCCACAGTACGTGTCCTTTTGCCCCTGAAGCATAGGCCATGTTCTACCACTATGCCGTTAATCCTGGGTCCAGCCTGGTGCATGGAAGAGGCTCTCAATGGGTGTTTGAGGAATGAAGAAAGGAATAAATGGCATCTGAGGTGGCCTGGCTAGCAGTTGATATTTTCTGGCTCACTGTCCTGCATTTCTTGACAATACAAAGTCTTACTCCCAGCTATAGACCAGATCTAAGAAGTTAGGGTTCAGGAGGGCACTAACTCTGTCTGCCCCGACCCCACCAGGAACGGCGCGTGGACTCCGTGGTCACCGTGGGCCCTGTGCAGCACTTCCTGTGGGATCGGGTTCCAAGTCCGCCAGCGAAGCTGCAGCAACCCGGCCCCCCGCCATGGAGGCCGCATCTGCGTGGGCAAGAGCCGCGAGGAGCGGTGAGCTAGGGTGTGCCTAGCGGGTTCCCGAGACAGGCCAACCCTGACAACTCGGTCCCCAGCCCCCGAGAGTGGCCTGGATTCTCCGTATAATCCCATGGATCCGTGCAGTCCTTGTGAGCTCTTGTTGGGATGCGGTTGACAGTCCGCTGGTGACGACCCCTCTCTATCCCCCACCCCACCCCCAACCCCCACCCCCGGCAGGTTCTGTAATGAAAATACGCCTTGCCCGGTGCCCATCTTCTGGGCCTCTTGGGGTTCGTGGAGCAAGTGCAGCAGCAACTGTGGGGGCGGTGTGCAGTCGCGGCGTCGGACCTGCGAGAACGGCAACTCCTGCCCAGGCTGCGGTGTGGTGAGGGCTGGAAGAGGGGGCCGGAGGGCAAGGGCAGAGGCCCAGGTGGGAGGTGCGGGAGGCGGGAGACACACTGGAGAGCAGGCCCGGCCCGAGGCTTGTGGGCAATGCCACAGCGCCCGCTCCTTCCCGAAGGAGTTCAAGACCTGCAATCCCGACGGCTGCCCAGAAGTGCGGCGCAACACGCCCTGGACACCGTGGCTGCCAGTCAACGTGACTCGGGGCGGGGCGCGCCAGGAGCAGCGCTTCCGCTTCACGTGCCGCGCGCCCCTGTCGGATCCCCACGGCCTACAGTTTGGCAAGAGGAGGACTGAGACCAGAACCTGTCCAGCAGATGGCTCCGGGGACTGCGACACCGACGGTACAGCCCTCCACCCTCCCTGACCCAGAGCATAGGGTGTGGGAGCATTTGGGATGGCGAGAACACGTGGTTTGGAAGAAGTGGAGAGGCCGGGGTGTCAGGCAGGGTGTCCCTGGGCGACCCTCAACTCTGAGGCCAGCCCTCCTCCCCCCAGCCCTAGTGGAGGATCTTCTGCGCAGCGGGAGCAACTCCCCACACACCCTGAGCGGGGGCTGGGCCACGTGGAGCCCGTGGTCGTCCTGCTCCCGGGACTGCGAGCTGGGCTTCCGCATCCGCAAGAGAACGTGCACGAGCCCAGAGCCCCGCAATGGGGGCCTGCCCTGCGTGGGCGATGCCACCGAGTACCAGGACTGCAATCCCCAGGCTTGTCCAGGTAACTGCTGAAGAAAACTCGGCTCAGAGACGCCCCCTTCCTTCACCCCCACCCCTCACACAACCCTGGGAGTCTTGATCTGCAGGCCCCCAGGCCTGCTGGAGCCACTGCCCCAGCTGGAGATGTCATGCCTAGGGGACTTCACTCTACCAACTCCATACAAGGGGCCACAGGGCGATTCTTTGCCTTGAGCGCGGGCACAGCAACAACTCCGGGAAGCAGGGCCTTTCTACACCCTCCTGTCTGTTTGCTTTCCTCTAACTGGTTAGCCAGAGAAGGACCTTGAGTGGAGTTGGAGTTGGTGTTTGATGTCTTCTCTGTAGTCTGCATTTCCCTCTGCCACTCCAACCCTTGAAGGGGGCTGTGTGGGATGGCACAGGTGTTGAGGTCAGTGTGGCCCAGTGCAGTGAGGACCCTAGTCTGGCATGGGCTGGGCTGCCCCAAATGGCCTTGGACACTCCCTGCACCCGCCAAGCCCTCACACATGTCTCCCCGTCACAGTGCGGGGCGCCTGGTCCTGCTGGACCCCATGGTCCCCTTGCTCAGCCTCTTGCGGTGGCGGCCACTATCAACGCACACGTTCCTGCACCAACCCAGTGCCCTCCCCAGGCGAGGACATCTGTCTTGGGTTGCACACGGAAGAGGCTCTGTGTGCCACGGAGGCCTGCCCAGGTAGGAGTGCATCAGACCCGGGCTGGGGGCCGCCATAGCGCCCCTTGTCCTCACCAAGGAGTCCTGGACATTTTACTTTGTCCCACCCCACAACCTCCAGAAGGCTGGTCACCGTGGTCTGAGTGGAGTTCATGCACCGAGGACGGAGCCCAGAGCCGCAGCCGGCACTGTGAGGAGCTGGTCCCGGGCCCCAGCGCCTGCGCTGGAAACAGCAGCCAAAGTCGGCCCTGTCTCTACAGCGAGATTCCCGGTAGGGCATTGAGCCAGCACCTTTAAACCAGCCCTCAGGGCGCTGAGCTCCGACCACCCTCCCCCTGAAGCATGCTCTGGGGGTGGGGAGGGCACACACTTTGGGTTTTTGCCACCTGTAGCTAGTCCGTAAGTCTGCCCTTCTTAGAGGTGGGGTCTGGGTCCAGAAGAGGGGAATGAAGGCCCCCCAGCCCTCGTCCAGCTGTCAGTACTGACGCAGGAATCTAACTCTCCTCCCTGCCCCTAACATCCACTGCACTTGTGTTCCCTCAGTGATCCTGTCAGCGTCCAGTGTGGAGGAAGCCACTGGCTGTGGAGGTAAAAGGAGCTCGCCTCACCCCGTGACCCCATGCTGCTACCCCTCCACCTCGAAGAGGCAACCCACTCCACGCTGAAATCTGGAGTCTCCCCACTTTCTCTCCAGACCGACACGCCCTGTTGAGGTCCTCCCCTGCTTTAGGCTGTTTGTAGGGGTTCTCGGCAGTTCATCTAGGAACTTCCCCAACTAGGAAGTGGTCATTAAGACAGTATTCGAGAAGACTCACCCAACTCTGTCCCGTCAGTTTGCCTCTTCTGAGCCAAACCGCAGTGGAGCCCTGAGAGAGGCCTCTGGTGACAGTCTGGCCCTCTTTCCGTTTCTGTGTGTTCTGGCCTTCACACCCCATTCTTTATGCCCGAGAGCCTCCTGCTGGAAGGCATGGGAGTCTCTCCGCTTCCCAGGCTCTTTCCTTAAACTTGCCTCTTCCTTTCTCAGGGTTCAGTCTCTTCCACCTGGTGGCCACAGGCGTCTCTTGCTTCCTGGGCTCTGGGCTCCTGACCTTGGCCGTGTACCTGTCCTGCCAACACTGCCAGCGCCAGTCCCAAGAGTCCACACTTGTCCATCCTGCCACGCCCAACCACCTGCACTACAAGGGTGGGGGCACCCCCAAGAATGAAAAGTACACGCCCATGGAGTTCAAGGTAGGAAGAAGCAGTGGTCAGGGAGAAGGGGCAGCGGCTCTGAGCTGGGCTGGCTGCTGCTAGTACGTGGGGACTAGAAGCCCTTGTCAGCCGTCAGAATGTTCTTCCATGGACTGGCTCCTGAGCGTGCTCTGGCTTGTCTCCTTCCCCACCTATTACCTCTTCCTCTCTGTTCATTCTTTCTCCTACAGACCCTGAACAAGAATAACCTGATTCCCGATGACAGAGCCAACTTCTACCCACTGCAGCAGACCAACGTCTACACGACCACCTACTACCCCAGCCCACTGAATAAACACAGCTTCCGGCCCGAGGCCTCACCTGGACAACGGTGCTTCCCCAACAGCTGATACCACTGTTCTGGGGACTTGGGTGCCTTGCCTTCCTAAGGCACAAAGCAGGTGGAGATGGGACAGTGGACTCAGTTGGGTTTTCTCCTCTGCACTAGGCCAAGAATTTGCTGCCTTGCCTTGTGGGGGTCCCATTCGGCTTTAAAGAGCTCTGGCTGGCGGTGACCATGAGGGAGAGGGCTGGCTTCAGGCTGGCATTTGGCTGCCCATTCCAGCTCAGCCCAGGTCTCTCATGGCCTCCTCAACCCACCATCATGCTGACCTCCCCTGCCATGTCTGGGCTGCGGACCTGCTGGGCCTGTGAGGAAGTGGACGGTGGAGATGGCAGAGGGCAGGTTCTTAGATTTGGGTTGGAAACAACAGCTCACGTGGCCCTCATGAACCAAGTCTACCCCGCTCTGGCTGACCCAGGAAATGTCTGAGCTCTAGTCTGATGATCTCCAAAAGGAACTAATCCAGTGGTCCCAGTAGTTCGGGATTCTCTGCCCAGGCCTGGACCATGGTGCTGCCCTGGTGGAACATGGGGACCGAGGCTGGTCTGGGCTGTCCACCTCTGCCTGTCTGTCTGTACTTTGCCTAGAGACATCCTTCTGCCCAGAGGCAGTGTGGCCTGAGGGCTGGACACTGATGTTTGCTAAGAAGCCCTTTCATCTGGGCTCGCGCAGGCCGCAGCCTTGCCTCGGAGTGCACGGAAGGTGGTCCAGGAGAAAGGGTGGCGGGACGCTCGCCTCTGTGCCATCATGGAGACTGTCTGCCGGTTGCTGCTCGGCAGAGCCGCTGGCAGAGCCTGCTTGGCCCCTCATCTGTTCAGGAATACACACGCACACACACAATCACAGTCTGCTACAGCAACAAAAGGTTGTTAGGCTGTGGCATTATTAATTAAAGATGATATTCAGTCTCCAAATGTAGCTTTGTGTTTGTGCATATGCGTGTGGGCTCTTCTTGGCACAGTCTAGTCAATCAGAGCTATGTGCTGGGGGACAGATGGGCTTCTCAGGGGGGGGGGAATAATTCAAGAGGAGTGTGACTTTAATAGAGGATACCTTTCCATTTATGAGTATATGTGCACACACACACACAATACCCTAAACACTTTAAGGGAAAAGATGAGGGGAGTAAGTGAATTCACCAGTAGGGACGCAAGGGTACCGAACAGGAGGGATTTCTGCCTTTTCCCTACAGATCTTGCAGGCAACAGCTCCAGCATGGATATGTGTGAGCCCGCCAAGGGAGTATTGCTGAGAGCTATTTTATGAAGGCATTTACAACGTGGAGTCTAATAAAAGCAACATTGGCCAAGAAATGAGTAAACCTGTGAGGAAGGGGAAGCCCACTGTTTTTTACTGGATTAAATAAAAATAACCTTAGAGTCTCAACACGCCAAATCTATGCTACCATTTTGGATGAGACCGATGAACATGTTCAATGTAGAGAACAGTTTCCTACTTAATTGGCTGGGTCAGTTCTCATAGGATTCTCAGCAAAACCTACTTGTTGGTCAGGCTTAGAGCCTGAGAACCTAGTGGTGGAGGAGGTAAAGGACCTTGCAGGATGGGGGAGGAGGAAAAGAGCATCCCTAGGTCTTGAGTCTTGGACCCCTTTGGGCTACTGGGAAAACGAAATAGCCAGAGTGAAGTTTAGTCAGAGACTGCAGTTTTGGGGTTCCTCACTAAGCTCATGGTAGCCCCATAAATCCAGAGTTTGTGGGGGCTATGTTAGGTCTTTGGGCCTTGAATTCCCTTACAATTCCCTTAGCCTAGGTGCCTCTTCACAGAGGCCACTATTTTTGTCTAACGAGTGCTAGACAGTATGTAAGAAGCAGTCATGAGAATTCTTGGCAATGCCCACTCTGTATTGATTGAAATGACACCGATGGGAGAGGAAATCCATGGACAAAACACACTGCAACAACGAACACACTGAATCATCTTCTCATAGGAACTGTTCTGGGTCTGGAGTCATCGCCATTCAGAAGGCATGAAGGGGTCCATATTGCGTGCAGATTAGCTTGGCGCTTGGCAAAGGCTGTTCCATAAATGGCCCTGGCCCAGAGATGAGGAAACCAGGACTGTGCTCCCAGAGACAGACGGTGCAGTGTTCTCTGCGAGGAGCTTGAGGCAGCACGGGTAGCTGTGTGGTGTCAGGAAGCTCAGGTGGGAAAGGCCCAGGAGCTTCCTGGGCCAGCCAGCCCATAGGGAGAGTAAGGAAGATGCGGACTTGGGTGGCCAGGCCTTCTTAGACATGCTTGCATTTGCTTTTAAGCCTCTCTCTCTGCACGTGTGTGCATTTTTTCATTTTCTTATTAAAGTAATACATGTCCATTGAAGAAAATTTAGCGGATACAGGAAATGAAAAATATAATCACAGTTATATTAAAAATCAAGTTGGAGACTTAGGAATTTTAAGTGGTGTGTGAAGACGTTTCTTTTACCTTCTCTCAACATCACTCCAAAAGCCAAGAGAACAAAAAACAAAAGCTTCATCTTCAGCAAGCATCTATTTTCAATAAAACTAGGATGTATCAGTAATCTCACATCATCATCCCTGAGGACAGGAAGCAGATGGGAGAATAGCAATCACTGCAGCATGGATGTGGGTCAAACCTACGCACCCAGGCAATTTCAGAAAGAGTCAGACAGTGGAGGAACCAGGTAGCAAGGAAGAGAGTTAAACTGGGGGCTTGAAAGAGAGAGGGTGGGTGAAAAATCTGCATGTACATTTTAGCTAGACCTTCAAGTCACCTTCATTCTCAACTCTTACAAATCTTAATACCCTTCTTCTGTCTGCAAAGGGGCACAGAGTATGCCCCTGCAGTCACTGAATCAGCGAGGCCCTGGACATGGGGGCGCAGAGGTGTGTGTGTGTGAGGGACTTTTTGGACAACTGTGGACTTAGTGGTTTTCTGTGGAACAGTAGGACTCGGCAGAGAGCTTTTCTAGCTAATTCCAAGAATGTGGCAACCAGGTTTCCCTCTCCTCTTCCTCCTTTCCCTGCTTTTTTCCCTCCCCTCCCCCCCTCCACCTCCTCCTTCAGGCAAGAGACTGGAAGATATTTCTTTGGAGAAACAAGCCAGATTCTGAAAGAACAAACCTGTGGGTCACCTGTGCAACTGTCCTCCAGTCAAGCACACTGATTGGTACACAGTGCTCAAGTGCACAGAGCTTGCAGTCAGTTTTCAGCATCTCACTTTTAAATATGAACAAGCACAAAGAACCAATATGAAAGACCAAAACAAGCAAGAGAAAGATGACCTCAATGAAACACAGGATACACACACAGAGTATCAATTCAGAATATGTAAAGATACTGCATTCATGAAGTAAGAACAGGATGGATGCAGTTAAAAAAAAAAAAGCTCAGAATTAAAAAAAAAATAGTGAAAAGGCAAGAAAATTAGAGGATCCATCCAGGAAGTCTACCTGTCCATTTAAAAACTCAAGAGAAGGAAATTATCAAGGAGAATATGGGAAAAGTTGTCAGAGCCAAAGGAAGAGAGGTTTGCAGTTCAAAGGGCTCACCCAGAAGCTAGCACCAGGATGAAAAAAAAAATCTACCCTGAGGCACAAAAACTCACTTTCAGAAGCACACAGAACTTGAGTCTGGATTCTTTCCCTGAGAGGAAGAGCCCAACAACAGACCAAAAATTAGGGATATGAATGTTGCAAAACCTCTTCTGACAAAGATTTAACTTTAGAGTACTGTAGAAAGTGTCAAAATTCTGAAATAAAAGTATTTGGCTGTGAATTTTATATTTTGCCCAAAAACAAGTCATACGAGAGTAAATCAGAGGCATTTTCAGACATTCACTGTCTCAAAAAGTATCCACATGCCCTGTTTCATTAAAACGAATCACCAGGAAAGAAAATAGGGACCCAAGAAAAAAGGGCTCTAACACAGGAAGAGGGTGAGGGGAGAAGAGGGTCAACAGTCATCAAAGAGCTTGGAGAGTTGTGGTCCCAGCAGCACCCAGAAGGACCCAGGGAGGAACAGTTAGGTCACCCGCAGATTTGTATGGGGAACTTTATGAAGATTTGTTTTATAAAAGTAGGGCATGTGGAGGAAAGATTTATATTTGGATTCTAAGCAAAAAAAAAAAAAAGACTTTGGCGGGGTTCTTGCTGCATGATTTATTTAACTCTTCAAAATAAAAAACAAAAAGAAAACCTCACAAAACAAAGTGTAGCTTAGCAAATATAGGACAAATGCCTTGGTAAGGATCATCCCAGTCAAAAAGCAGAACTACCAAAAGCCAAGCGTCACTTTTCTGTCCCATCACTGCCACGGCCCTCTTCCTCCACACATGATAGTTATTAACTCCAAGGAAAGGAAAAGAGCACGCAGGGAAGGAAATTACTATTGTTTACCACTTGGTGTAACCATGGAATTTGTATAATCACCATTAAGCAACTGAATGTGGATTTAAGCATAATTTGTTATGCAGCTATATTTTATCTTTTTTTTTTTCCCGTAGGGAGACATCACTGGAGGGACAAACCTTTGAATATTTGCAGCCCATTGACTGTGGGGGTGAATTTTGGGAAAAGAAAGGAATAAAACCCTTTTAAGTGTTTTTTTTCCTGATTACAATTATGATACACATTGATTGAACAAATTTTAGAAAATAAAACAAGCAAAAAAATTAAAACAAAATACAAATGACCTAAAATCCAGCCCAGAGATCAATATCATTTTACTATGCTCTCTTTCGGGGTCTTTTCTGTGTCTGTGTGTGGGTTTTACTGGTCTTACAAATTTAAACATACTATGTATTTGGTTTTTATTCTGATTTTAATATATAACATTGTATCAATATTTTACCACATGGTTAAAAATTCTGTGAACCCCTTTTAGCAGGTACCCTAGGAGTGAGTCAGAAGGGTCTCATTGGTAGAGACCCCCAAGCCCCTACCTCCACCTCATCAATAAAACTTCAATTGCTATTTATTTCATTTATTCACAGCATCAAGGAAGATTTATTTTGAAAAAGTTTGCATAATGATTGTAAAATCGTGACCTAAAAACATTTCATTATATGAATTCTACTTCTATTAAACAGATATGTCTGTGGTGTTACATAAATTTATTCTCCTCTATTACATAAATGTGTCTTTCTATTATATAAAGTTATCATTTATTCAAACCCTCCTTCATTTAAAAAATTTCTTTGCCAGAGAATACTATTATGGACCTTCTTTTCCATATCCTCAGAAGTGAAGTCCCTTAATTCTATGACCAGTTTTCTTACTGATGGAAATACAGTTCTCCAGAAGTGCATTCTCATTTTATTCTGACTAACCCTGAGCACTAACTAGATAAATACCTTCACCTGTAAGCACTGAGCCGAGAGCCATATGTTGATATCTTATTTGGCCCTCCCAACAGCACTGCAAGGAATTTAGTATTATCACACCCAACTTACAGGCAAGGAAACTGAGGGTTAATGAATTTGAATAATTTGCCCAAAGTTACACAGCTGGTGGTTAAGGGGCCAGAATTTCAATGCAGTAGTCATGTGCTTGTTACCAACACCACAAGGTTTTTTTCTTTCTTCTTCTTCTTCTTTTTTTTTTTTTAAATAGGTCTTTATTCTACATAAATATCATTTTTAAAGTTTACATCTTCCTATAGGTTTTTTCCTAAGTAGAATTAAGTTTTCTTTTTCATGTATTCAGTGAGTAGCTATTCTCCCCCATATACATCCTAGGAGTATGCACTTCATCCTTGTAAGAGGGCTGGTCTGTACCTGTTCTATTAGGTGCTCATCTCACCCCTAATACTTCCCAGGAGCCCTTGTGTATAACAGATATTAATCTTTGGTCAAAAAGATTCAAATATTGTCTAATTGATCGTATGCCTGGGATATTCCTAAGCCTCTCTACCTGTCATTGAG